GCTGAAAGTTAGAAAACACAGGATTTAGAACTTGGTTTTTTGTGTCTATGGATAGCTGTAAGTACATGGTGGTTGTTACAGCATTTTAGAAGACCCTTGTTCTTTCACTCTCTGTGGCCAATGACACTTCTTTTATATATATTAATCTGCAAAGAAGATTGTAAAATTCACTCACAAAATGAGTGTTGGCTTCTGCAAGGTCGTGTGCAACAGACAATATGGACTATTTGAGGAATCATCAAGGAGAAAAGGTGTTCTCCTGGCTCTGCTGCCTAGGTGTCTGCTGGAAACTCAACTATCTTGATGTAGTATCCTCATTGTTTATTGGGTTTTTTTTCCTCTTTTCATGGTGAAATGAATTTCCTGACTCATTTTTCACCATTTTATGTTTTACTTTTTGTCTTCCTTCCCCTGCTTTTTGTCCTGGTTAATACATTAAATTACAAAGATGTGGGATGGAAATACTGCAAAGCTTAGGGGTTTAGGGAGGGACCTAGGCAAAGTGGGGATAGATCCCCTGGTAGGTTACAGCTGAGGCAAAATGTAGTGCTCAAATCTTACCCAAATTTAGTTCACCAACATTTTTGTGGCATAGGCAAATACTCCTGTGCTAGTTAGAGTTAACATAAACACATTTAGATGGCTCATCATCTTCTCATGTTTGATATTGCAGGTCAAGATCAAACACTTCTTTTCTGTTTCTCTGTCCTTCCCTGTCATATTTAATCATCCCCTTTCTGTGTTATTCTGTGCCCCAAAATTCAAACAAAGTGCTGTTCAAAACTATGTTGTCTTCCACCAATATGGTTCTTAATGTTCTGCAAAGATCACAACTCAGATGAGCAGTCACTGCCCCAGACTATTTAACCAGGATGAAACAGGAGTGAAATAGATGGCATGTGAGGATTTTACTTAAGAGTAATACATCATTTGAGCCCTGTTTGAACTTAAAATGTCTCTGTATTGCTGCTTGAGTAATGCTAATTTGGATAGCTATAAGTGAAGATGTTTTCACCGTTCTCAGGGAGGTGAGCAAATTCCATTGAACAGCAATTTTTGTTGCATGTTTTCTTTTGTATGATTGCCAGCAGCCAATTTTGTAAATTTTGTACTGTTGGAATTACTCTTTCATATGAGAAAATCCTGTTGAAGCCATAAAGGTGGTACTACAAAGGCAAGAACAGTGCAGGAAAGGTAAAAGAAGCTGCTGTGCAAAAGGGTGGAGAATCTGGCCCTGGTTTACATGTACCCACTTTGGGTTTATATAACTCTTTTGTGTTTGTTTTTATTTCAGTCTGGGCTGTCTAAGTATTTCACAGGCAGTTAGCTCCCACTGAATGATCAAGTCTTTATTTCGTGTATTTTACAAAGATTCATGGTGAGGAGCTGAAAAGTTGAGTGATTTGCACAAAACCCCTCTCTCAATATCTGCGCTGCAGTCTGTGATGAAATTCAAGTCTGATTCAGAGTCAAGTGCTCCTGTGTGTGTCCTCCACAATCTCCCAGCAATCTGATTTCGCCAGCTACAAGCTTCTCTGGCTCTCCTGTATCAAGTTCCACTGGTACAACTGCCTTGGGACGCATCTGGGTTCGATTCTCTTGTATTGTGCAGTGATAAGCATTGCAAGTTGATCGGAAAATATGTGGCTGGTAAACACCAGATTCCACCTTTCCTGAATGATTAGCTGGCTTTTTGAAGTACTAATGATTTTAATTTGGCTTGGAGTCAGTGAGTAAGAGTATGCAAAGCCTTAGCCAAAGTACCTATTTATTTATGTAAATCTTATCAGCACACATTTCTTCAAAGAAGAGTACCTATCTCTTTGTCTAAGTGCTTTTTAATAAATATATAAATATATATATGTATAACTACGAAGTAAACCAGCTTAAATTTTCTCCATTGTCTCATGGATGACAGCACTTAGTAGAAAGTGGTTTTCCGTGGTGAATGGGGTTTATAGTGTTCCTGACTTGTAGGAATGATATTGTCTGTTCGGTTTCATTCTTCATTTTTCATTTCAGATTTTTTTTAAAAAGTAACACAGCTTATTTTTCTATGGCTGTTCTGTCTATCTTTATAACGCAAAGTTTGGGTTTCATTCCCAAAGAAAGGCTATGAGTTGGTTAATGATTTGTTTAAAATGTGAATGGAGTTTCTCTGGACAGAAATTGCTCACTCTATCTGTTCATCTTCTGGACTTGACTGTTTAAAACTTGGCAAGGAAGAATAATTTTTTTCCTTTCCCCCGGTTTTCTGGAGGGGAAGGATTGTCTATGCTTGTGGTTGTTTCAGGTATTTGCAAAATGAATATTAAAATTGCAATACTGCAGTAATATTAGTTTTAAAACCCTCTACTTGTCTATTGCAGTTCTTTACTAGTAAGAGACACGTTTAATGAAGATGATTTTTGTTTCCTTTCTTAAGAAGTGATTGCATATTCTAGTGCTGTGCTGAGAAAAGCTTTACTTAAAGGCGACAGAGATACTCTATGCTGTGGCACCCTAATTTAAATGTTGAATTGGATATGATAATTTATTCCATTTTTAAGGAAGCTGTCCTTAACTGTGACATAGAGTGGCTTAAAAATGGTTGTGATAAAAATTATATTTATAATTAATCATTAAATGTTCAGGGTAAATTGGATAGGATTAAGTACACTGAAAAGTCAGCATGTGTGCAATTATAGTAGGTGAAATACTCCATGTATTAAATGACTGTATGTTGTGCTGTGCAATATTACTAGTATTTAAGATTTTTCTATGAGCACTTTCTTCAGCTGCAATTCCAAACCATACTGGAAATAACTTGCAGAGGAAATTCATAATATTGGCTGAGTTCTCTAAGTTAAGAGCTTTTGAAAATAGCAAATATATTCTTGTAGGTTTCTGTGCATACAGTTTAGAAAATTAGATGTAATTATGCAGCTGTTTGTTGTCTGAGTTATTTTCCATTCAAATGCCATGCACTTAATTGAACCGGAAGGGAAGGGAAGGAGTGGGTCCCTTTTCCTTGGTGCTGGGTCTCTGGTGTCAAACAAGTTGACCGCGATCTTGGCACTGCAGGATTTGCACACTAGTGCAGGCAAAGGAGTCAGCTCAGCTGTGCCCCTTCCCTGTGGGCTTTGTCATTTACTGGGGTCCAGGCTGCTTGGAGATCTGCCAGGCCGTTGGCCATGAGGATGTTTGCTTCTCTGGAGCTGCACAGGCAAAGGACACGTTTGAAAGTTTCCTCAAAGGACTCTGAATTTATCTGCTGGCTTGTTGGAGGATCTTCTTTCAAACAGAACTTTGCACGCTATTTTTGTTACTTTGGAAGTTGTCCTCACAATACCCTTTATTAATTTCTTTTCTGAAATCAACAGCTCCATTTCTTTAGATCTTTCTTTTTTTTCTCACAAGTATGTACACGACAATTATGGCTTGAGTTATGAGTCCTTGAAGTCCTTTTGTTGTGGCAATATCTTTGTCAATAGCACGCCTGTGCATTCAGTTTTTTTATTTATATAAGAGCAAAAATATTTTCTGAATTGTTTTCTCACATGAATTCTTTCCCGTTTTTTTTAAAACTCCATTACTCCTACTCATGCCGTAAAGTACTGAACTTGCAGACTAAAACCCAAATCTCTTTCTTGAGTCAATACCATTAATTTATAAGCCAGTTAAGTATTTGAGTGCATTGCATTTGTCAATATTGGCTTTTCCCTGCTATTGTGTTTCTCATTCTCTTAGGTTAGTTAGGTGTATCTGAACCCCTGGTCTATTCTTATCTGCACATTTTTGTGTCACTTGCAGGTTTGTCACTTCTCTGACACCTCCTTTTTCTGATGATTAACATAAGTAGCTACCACCTATGCCAGAACAATATGCTTCCCACCAGTTCCTACCTGTTCAGCTTTCTACAAAGAAAGCTGCACTGTTTAATTCAAATCTCTTGTTTTCTGTCCAGGTTTTTGAAAAGCTTTGTTCTTTGTAGCATGGTTATTTAGTTACACCAGGTATCTTTCTGGAAATCCACATAAACCATTTTTCCTCTAGTTTTCTTCTGGAGCATTAAAAATTTTATCAGATTTGTGATTGCTAAAACTGTGGAGAACGAATTCTACCTGTGCTCTGTGTGTCTTCTTTCGTTTTAATGACTGTTTCAATTAATTTGGTGTCTTACATCAAAATATATATGCTAGTTTAAAATTTCCTTGAATTAATCCTGTAAAGGCTTTTTAAAATGTAAGTTCAATGTTTGCTGCCATGCAGTCCTTAAATGAAGTCACTAGTCTGAGAACAGTTTCATAGAGGTTCAATCAGCATATTCTTAATATTTTCCTATATTTTTGACTGTGTACATTCTCTGTGGATTATTGACTTCATGCTTATTTAATTTCTCTGTTGTTCTTTCTTTCTTCCTTCCTCTCTTTTTGGGTACATGTATCCATGGTGGCATCTGATCTTTTCTTTACGTGGAAAGAATAGGGTCAGGTTTAAATATCTTTCTAATCCATAGTTGGCAAAAACTGATGCAAGAAATTGTTTATCTTTTCAGCAACACCCTAATTTTCTTTAATTACACCTTCACCTCTAATTCAAAAGACCTACTTATTCTCCCTTTACCGTCTTGGTGGTTATTGTGTGGTTTTTACCCACAGCTGTTTACTTCAGAGCCCATTTTGGACCTCTTTGTTTCCTTCTTACACAATGAATCTTATAATCTGCTTTGTTGGCTGCACAAACATTGTATTTCCATATTCTGCATAACTTCATGTTGGATTCGTATAGGTGGAATGGCTGTAGGGCACTCTAAAATTGTACAACAAGTCTGTAAACTGAGAAAGTGCTATACTGGTTTGAAGAAGACAGAATTCATTTTCAGGGTACAAAATTCATCTTAGCACTAAAAATGCATACATTTCCCCCTTGCCTGTAGTTGCCTACATTTGGTTTCTAGTCTCTAACATTTAGTTTCTAATTTTTTTATGTTAATACATTGGTTTCTGCTGATTTAACAGGTTTTAGATGCGGGAAGACTGAAAGAATACGGTGAGCCTTACATTTTGCTGCAAGAACAAGACAGCTTGTTTTACAAAATGGTGCAACAAGTGGGCAAGACTGAAGCGGCTGCTCTGATTGAAACAGCAAAACGGGTAATTTTAGAAGAAGAGATAATTAAGTTTGTCTCTGCCGTTTGTTTATCTCAAGTTAGCATATTCAGTGTTGCAGTAAGCCTTGCACTAAAGGATCTGTCAGTTTTGCAAGGCAAAGCCATAATTTTCAGTGGGATATACACAGACTTCCAAATGATACATGTATTTATATACCCCAAGTTGAAAGACTGGATTTCTTGCATCCTTTTGTGTGTACACAAAACAGTAAGTGTAAATAATATAGGACATACTCACTTGTGCTGGGCATTGATCTTAACTCGCTGTGAAAAGCACATTAGGGCTGCAGAATCAAACATTTATATGTTATGTCTCTATTTTTTAAAGGGTCCATCAGATTTTAGTTGGGGCTCAGTGCCTGTGACCATGCTGTGGTCCCTGAGGGTTTGATCACATTCCTTCTGTTGTGCCTTCCCTTACTTCGTACCCTAGCTCTCTGTTCTGCACCAAAAATGAGCAGGGCTCAGCTAAGAAACAGCTGTTGAATGTTTTGTCACCTCCTTGTTCCCTGCAAGGCTCTGTGCCTGATTGTGAACTGTTCAAATCCTACTCAGAGTACAGAATTATTAATGTAATTGTGAGCATTCCTCTGGCAATCAGTGTTTTAAGAGACATCAATGGATTCGTTTTCACAATATGCCTGTGAGGTGAGCCTATATCATCTCCAATTCTCAGATGGAAAGCTGAAGCAGAGATAAGAAGATAAAAGAATGACCTGTGATTGAGGATCTCTTTGACTAGCTTTGGCTTGCTTTCTTTTTTCTTCATAATTAATCACACAGGACGTCCAGGGCAAGACTTAATTCCCTCAGTGCCAACAAAGTTTCAGCATTGCTCCAGCTGAGACTGGCAGTGCTCAGTTTGGCAGCAGCTTGCTTGGAACCCATGTAACTGTGATTTCAGCATGTGAGTAAGGCACTGGTAACCTAAGAGAGCCTTTTACAGGAGAGAGGCAAAGCTCTTTAGCCTTTATGCTTTCCTTTCCTCAAGTTGCTGGATGTGTGGAGCAGAGCTAGAGGAACACAAAGTCTAAACTGTTACCTGGGGAAACAAAAGACCAGTGGACAGGGAACAACACACAGACAGGAAACAAAATGGCAGGCGTTTGACTATTTTCCAGTAAAAAAATAGATGCATTTCCAGCAAGTTTAAAAAAAAAAAAAGAAAAGTAGTGCAGTCATGGAGGCTGTGTGCTCACGTCTGGATGCTCTTTTACTGGACTTTTTGAAGATCAGGGAAGAGATTTCTGTGTCTGTTCATATTCTCAGATTTTATTTTTTAAAGGGTTTTTCAAGTAAAGCACTGTAGCTAGGAGCATACACCATAAATTCTTGTGTGGTACAAATTGCAAAACTGAGGAAAGAGTTTTGTCTTGAACTAAGCTGTGTTACAAGTTCTGCTGTCCTCTTCCATTGCTGCAGTGTAGCTTCATTTATTTTCTTATTAGAAAGGAATGGGTTAGCCATGTTTTCTGTGGTATGAGCATGACAATCTGGAGGTTATATAAATGATATTTAAAAGGGTAGCTTCAAATTCATGTGACCATTGTTTGTCTGTAAAGTGAAGGCCAGCTTTCTAAGGCTTATTCCTTGGAAAGACAAGAGGTGAGGCTGTCCAGCTGTCATCTGTAGAAATTTAGGTATGTCATGCTGTCATTCCTTCCTTCCCTGGAGCCCTCCCCAATTGCACAATTGCATTCAAAGACGATTCAAAATATATAAAAATAATTGCCTGATGTTACTTGCCCATATAGTCATCTGCAGTTACCACATCAATGTTATGTGATTTTGTACAGGAAGGGAAGAGATCCAGGAACCAGTCTCTGCTGAAATGTGGTTTGATGAAAAAGTTTGCTAACTCCCAGGCTAGAAGGCAGATACAAGCTTTAGCATCTGCCAAGAATGCAAAGCATGGTGCTTATCCACACTCGGACCAAAAATATGGGAATCAAGAGACTGTATCTCCAGTCAGCAGCTACCCAGAAGCAGAGTTACAGCTCCTTCTGTTTGAAGGACTTGGACAATTCAGGGGTTTTGTTATTGCTGTCCCTTGTGCTTCATGCATACTTGCAGAGAAGTCGCTTAGTCAGAAGAGCTGATTCCAATGGCTTTTCTTTTTACACTACTGAGTCTGCTGCATGTATTGCTGTTGGTTTCCCACATTCCTACTGTGGTTACTAAGAACATTTTTTTTTGTTTTTATGAAGAACAGCTTTCTTTCTGTTTTTGGAAAACAGCATGCTGCACATAAAAAGAAATGGTAATATGACATACATACATACTTTTCAAAAAGCATTGCAGTGGGTTGCTAAGGAAAATGGTTTGGAATGTGGCTATGCTTTGGCAATGATTATTTGATTTATTGGATTTTGGACCTGAATCTTGATTCATTTCAGTTTGGACCTGTACAATACAAACTCGTACCAAGATGATCTTTCAGTAACCTGAAACTTCAAATGCATTTTCTGGAAAAGTACTGCTTTTGCATATATCCTTTAAGTGCAAATTAAGAGGTAGTACACATCTTAAATTGGGAAGACTAACTTGGACATATTTAAGAAACATAATTTAAAAAAAAAATTCTCATGGGCCTCTTAGTGAAGCATTGCAAGACTGAGCTATTGCTGGAATCTTAGCTCAGGTTTCCAGATTGATCCAGTTGCTATTGTATGGCTCACTTGGTATCCCCATTTTTTGTGCAAATGTCAAAGAGAACAACACAGGCACAACCCAAATTGGATACTGCTGAGTGTGCATTAAACAGCCTATGAGCCTGATGGCAACTGAGTTATGCTTGACATCGTGAGATTGTTTTTATCTTTCCTCAGTTTACAAGAAGCTGCTAGGAGAAAATCCTGTGGGAAAGAGAAATAATCGTCAAGCAGTGAAAAAAGGAAAAAAATAAAAGTGCTCAATTATTCAGATAAACAGAAGTTGGTGTGTTCTCCCTGCTCTTGGCAGTGTTGAGAGAGGCTTTTCTGCAAGCTTTGGTGGCATCAGGATAGGGATGGGTTTCTGTCAGTCAGGTTTCAGTACTTTGAGGGAAAAATAAGAGTTGTTTTATTTTACTTTAAAGCTATGACAGATGTGTAAATATTAAAATACTAGGTGTTATCTCACCTCAGTGATTACTTTTAAAAAGGTTGTAGCTCTGTTGGCACTGGAAGAAACTTGTATAAAGACTTGGGCATTTAATATCTTGAGGGATTGGGCTCAGGGGAAGAATTGCAATGAGACAGTTGAAAGGCAGCTGCCATTTCATTACATTTCTAGTAATGTGCCAAGGTTTTCTGTTAGCTTTCCATTAAAAAAAAATCACATTCAAAAGCTGCATTAAAAGTATGCCAAAGTTTTGTGTTTTAAAGCAGGAACGGGGTGAGAATACCGAGGCTGCCGTCTGCAGCCTGTGTGCAGTCAGCAGCCTCATTAACTTCCCTCTGTTGCATCCGATTGTGACTGGTTACTGAGGAATGTCTCTTAACAGGACTCCCAATTCTTCTGTTGATTCAAATCAGACTTTAATATTCTTTGAAACTTGTAAAAATGCATATACCCTGCATTAGTAAGTGCACAAAAGATGACAGGGACATTTTTGTAGAATGACTATTTCTTTTTTATCCCATGTGTCTTATACATATATTCATTTATGTGAAAAGGATGTTATTATCAAACAAACTGAACTTTGTTGACAAGACTCTTAAATATAAACTGCAGAAATGTTTCATAAGCTGTACTCAAAGCAGTCTGACTATGAGACCTAACTCGTGACACGTGTCAGCTTCAGAAAGATAGTGTATTTTCTGTTTTTAAAGACTCAAACAAAACTTTTCACATTCTTCTTTGAAAAAAAAAATTGCATTTGAAGTCCTTTTTCACCCAACACATTTTTAGATAAGAGCACACAAGTCTTGACATTATTTCATTTTGTTATGCGCATCTGTCAAGGAACAGAGATATGATACAGCTGCTAAAAACTGATGATTGTGGAACAGTGAAACTTGACAGCATTTCATTTCCTTTATGTTCTGATTATACATTTATCAGGAAACCTGTATCTCTTCTAGTTGAGCTAGAAATTGGTAGAATTCAGGAACTCAAAGGCTTGGCAAAGAACTGTCCTATTATTTGGTATCATCTTACGTTTTAGAGAAGTTGCTTGGTTGAGTCATTGTTAAAGCTTTTGCTTCTTCTTTCATTATTGTGGTTCACTATCCAGAGATCACATTTCTATAGGCCCTATAACTGCTCTGCAGCACAAATTAAAGGCTGGGATATTTCATACATATACTTCAAAGTTTGAATGGTTGTCAATCACAGTTTGTAAAATATAGGGATTACAACCTGATTTTAACATCCAAATCCATTGTGTTCATTTTATGTGTGAAAATGAGAAACCCTTGTGCAGACGCAAGATTTCACAGCTCCTTTGTCATCCTGTTTTTAATTTATCTCCATGTTTTGAACTAGTGAAATGATTTTACTTATCAGTTTAATGTAAAGTGATAAAACATATCTATTCATCTGAATTAACAAAATTTGAGGGATCGACAGGTTGTGTGAGATTTCTCACACATTTTGTTTCAGTGCAAGTTCATATAGTAATTTTACTAATTTTTCAGTGACATACATTAACTGAATGCCACTAACCTGAAGTTCCTGTTGTGATTCCTTAAGGATATATATTTATCTCTACTATATTTATCTCCAGAAATATTGTTTGAAGCTAAATGGACTTTGGTACATAATTACTCATGGAATCTAATATTTTTCCTAGGTATACTTCAGTAAGAATTACCCAGAAGTTGTTCAGAATGGTCAGCTTGCCACAGACTCCTCCTTGGATCCTTCCTCAGGATTATGCATAACTGAAACTGCACTGTGATTCCTCATTGCCTTAACTGTTCTCTGCAGAATGTAAACCTGAGATCATCGAAACTTGGCGTCAACGGGAGAGGAAAGGGAGGGGGGCAATTCTTTGCACTGGACATCCTTCCTATTTAATACTGAGAAGAAAATTTATATTGTCCCTGTTTCTTTCATTTCAGTGCAATATGTTTTTCTTTCCAGCTAATTATGTTTGTATTGCTAAGGAAATTAGGCAGATTCAGTTTTTATTTGAAAGTTATGTGGTAGAGATCTCTTTTATTTAAACAGGTGCAGGACACCTAACAGGTCTAGTGTGCATATTTGGAGCTTAGTAAAATAATTGGAACGTGTCCTTCTTTTTTCCTTTAGAAATATTTTGAGAGCAAGCAAAACCAAATTCTTTTCAGTGTCTCTTTAGCATGACAGCTCTGTCTGAACAGCAGATTTGGTAGTGTGCAACTCACTTGTCTAGAGGAACTGTCTTTCTACCTGTGACGAGTACCTATGCAGGCTGGTAGGAAAAAAACTTGAAGAAGCCAAAAACACTTTTTCATTTTGATAGAAGAGTACTATATACTTTTTTTAATAAACAGTTCAAATAATGCTGTTCAAGATGAATGTAAATATTAGTTTTATTTTGCTAAAATCCAAATGCTGAAAAATCAGTCTCAATCTTCTCTACTTCAGAAGAAAATTGCCACATTTGCACTGAAGAAATATTTAAATAATTTAACATACATTCCTCTTTTTACCCAGGTTATCAAAGAAAAAAAGGTATTAAAATAACTTGAGGAACTGTTTGAATGACATGTCATTATACCTAAATACTGTGGAGTACAAAGTTATCTTCAACACAACACATTGAAATGTATACATTATTTGCATTTATTGTGCCTTAATATTTGTGCCTTCAAGCCAAAGCTGTAACTGCAGGGTACACAACAAATTCATTAGATATATGTTAAAATATGTAACTTTAGTTTTGCATCAGGGGTTCTGTTGAACTTCAGCTGTATGAAGTTACCATCCTGCCAGAATAAGTAGGAAAATACAACCTGTAGTTTCAAATGGCAGTTGCTGATAGAGAGGAATGCAGTGAGAGAGGGGTTCAATATTCATAAGTTATGTCCTGATTCGGCAAAGCACTTCAACACAAAGGCACTATTCCCATGCTTGAAAAATAAACCAAGCAAGTGCTGTGCTGCTTTAGGTCTTTTCAAATCTGAAAAAATTTGAGCTATTCTTTGAGGTCCAGTAGAAAGTACATCTATTCATCTTGCTGTTTAAAGGCCTCAGGAGAGACTAAAAGGCAACAGATTTCTTCAGGAAATGGAAAATACTGTGCTTTTTTAAAAATACTGAAGATGCTTGCTATTACCTTTGTTATGCCAAACAAGTGTTATTTACCCAGTGTTCATCCAGTGATCCAAAAGTAAGGCAAACACCAGTGTTTCTCATTTCAAGCAGTTCTACTAGAATGCAATTTAGTCAGATACAAAGTTACTTCTTACTGAGGAGCAAATTGAGGCCAAAGCCTGTGCCTCAGCACAACCACTCATTTTGGACATCTTCCTGCTCGGAGCCAGCCCGATGGTGAGAGGCAGAGTCCCTGTTCCCCTGTTACAGCATCCTTCCTGCACTGGGGCTTGCTGTCCTGCTGTGAGATCCCATGAGACAGGGGATTGATTGTGTCTGCAGTGCCACCAGCCAGCTTTCTGAGGGACAGGGGCTTTTGGAGCTTGTGGAGCAAACATCAGGTATCTGTGTGTGCTGATAACATCCTCTCAACATGCTTAAAAATCATTAGGGGGGACTCACAAAATGAGATGCTTTTGCCCCTAGCCTTTTTTGTCAAGTCCTAACACTTCTCCTGCAGTGTGTAGCACCTTACACTGGAACAAGTTCCACTGAGATCCATGGAACTGAACTTCACACAGTGATGTGCAGCAGGAGGCTTGTGCTACCAGCCACCAAGCCACGTGGCACAAATGTGCTCATGTGTGCAGTGCTTATGGCAGATCCTTCTGAGAACACACCAGCCACATCCACTTTCTGTATGGCTTGGCCCTTCTCTGAGCTGCTGCAGTCCACTTACACAGTGTCCTAGCACACAGTTATCATCCTGTGTGTTCTGTGGCCCTTTTCTTTTTCATTAAAGCTGTCTGAAATAAGGATAGGGCTGTTCTGCAGCTGAGTGAGAGTAGTGGTTGCATTGCACAGGTATGTGAAGTTGTAAAGTTTAAATGTGTAAAGTCATGTTAGATAATTCTAGGGGATTGTGTAGTGTAAAGAAAGTTCAACCTCATGGCCTTGTCCACAACTGCCTTTTTGACAAGGATCCAAACTCTGCTCAAGCTTTGCCATGGAAAACCTCATTTGAGTGGTGCAAAACACAGCTATGGTGAGCTGATCAGGAAGGTAGTGCACTTCATCGAGTTGGGAGTTTGAACTCCTTTGTTTATCTTCTTTTTTGAGAAGTGTGAATATATTCAGAGTCTGTGTTTTACAATATGGAATTCTTATTATTGTTAAACACTTAGTTCTTATAGAAGAAGAAATGTGATGTATAATACAGAGTCTTTTAAATACTATAAGAGAATAGTAAGTTCTCCTGGCCATACATACCTTATTTTATATTTTTTTGTCAGACCCAAGGAGATCTGCACACGTAAACCAAGGGTATAATTACAGTTTTAGTTCATTTCAGCTCTGAAATGAATCTATGGTAAGTTATATTTCAGAGCAGAACTCCAAAACGCTGGCTGCTGCAGACTCACTCGTATGAGACCCTGACTGATGTGGCTATCAGTCTATAAGCTAGAATTAATTTGATCCTGTAGCTTTTTGAATGTGCACAAAAATGTTAGGTATCTCTGAAAATGCTGATTCTGCTTCTCTACGTGTTTTGGCAGGACACTACTTGCTGTAGGTATCAAATATCAATATAAGACAAAACAAATTTCTTCCAAAATCACACTTGAAACCCGTAAATTGCTGAGTAGAAAAACTGATAGCAAGTCATTCATGTCTGTCATTGGCATTATTTCATCTTTTTGGTTTAAAGCAGCAGAAATATTTTATTCAGGAAACTGGTTTTGCTGGTATTGTTGATAGCTGTTTTGTTCAGATGTTGATTAGGACCGACTGACCCATTTCATTTTAATTGTGTAAAAAAGGTGCAGTGGACCTGAATGGCAGAACTCAAATCAGGGAAAGGAAAAGGCCTTCATGTGGTGAAAGTCTTGGTCTGTTAAATGAATACCTTATCTTTCCAACAAGGTGTTTTATGTTTCCTTACAAAGAAAAATTTAAACAGTTTTAAGCTTCCATTTTGAAAAATGTTGTGCTTTATTTGAAAATAGCAAAGCAGGTTACTCTAAGTTGCATACCTTACTGGGGATCTTGGAAAAAGAACTCAGTCTCCTGAGTTATTCAAGCCTTTAAAATATTTCTTCGCCATGAGGTGCCTTAAAGTATTCCAGAGTCTTATTTCTAATAAATATAATTTTATACAGTTATTCTAAAAATCATCAGTTACAAAACTCTTGTTTCTTAGGTGTAAAAATCTAGGAACAGCCTCTATTTCTGATCCAGAGAATTGTTTTTCATACATTTGTTTTGGTGTGTCTTTGCTCCACCCCTTCTCCAAAGACCACTGTGAGCCGACAGAGCATGTTGGCATTTCCAAAGCCACAGTTTGCCAGGATAGACTATTTCATGTTTTACTTATTTGCTTGTTTTAAGGACAAAAATTCTCTTCAGTAAACTGCACCATGTGCCAGATGGGCGTAATCTTCTGTGATACCATTTGTACTGCCCTTTGGAAGAGGGAGAACTTTCTGGCCAGCCTCAATAATGCTGTTTGCTTCAGTAATGTTGATGGGTTTTTTTTAGCCTTCCCAATATACATGTGAAATAAGATTGCAAAAAAAATCATCAGAAATGCTGCTCTTTTTTTGTTGTTTAGCTGACCCTTTGAAATATCTCAAAATATTCAAAATTTGCCTCTTTTTTTTTTTTTTGGAGGGGGGAAGAAAGAATTGAAATCTTCCTTGTAATGGTGATGAGCATGACAGTTTTGCAGAAGATGTGGCTTTCTGTGTATGTTTTACACTGTGTAACAGCACACTGCTTTTTCATCATTTTAACTCTGGTTTTGTTTTGGTTTGGTTCTTGCATTTGTTGTAAAAATTTGATTTTGGCAATACTATGGAATGGTTTCTTTTGTGGACGTTCACGTGACAACTGCTGTCATACAATAAAAGGCATTTCTCAGAAGCCTGTCTTTAGTCTGTTGTCATTGTAAATATGTGGCTGAAGGCAGAAGTTATGGGCTGGGCTAAGTCAGGACATGTCTGACCTCTCAAAACACCTCTCGGTGCCATCAGAAGCCCCAAGAGCTGAAAATGCACTTGGAGCTACAAAACACAGTAATACATGCCAGCTTGGTTTTACCAGTTTTCTCCAGTCTGAGATCTCTCAGATCACATCACCAAGATTTTAGCTTTAATTGCTGAAAAGTATTGCAAATAGATTTTAAAAAACTGTGATGGAAGAACCACTGAGGTTGCACCTGAGGTTGCACCCAGTGCAGACTGGGTATGGTCTCTGCCCAAAGCAGCTGGCAAGCTCAGTGGGCTGGACAGTGGAAATGTGGAAGGTCAGTGGGCAGAAGTGAGGTGAGTTAACAGCATTACCTCTCAGTCCTGTGCTTCTGTCTGATGAGCTTGTTGCTTAATTTAGCAAGGCACTCGGAAACTGCTTTTTCTGAAAACCATGCAAAACTCTTCCCTATGTCTTCCAACTGTCTCAAGTTCTTCACTGCTATTTTGATGCAGGATTTTTAGTACTGGATGAATTGTGCATTTGTCAATAGTCCCTCAGTGCAGCAAGTTGCGGGACCTGGTACAATATGAATTGTCATCTCTCCTCTTCTACCACGGAATATGCATTAAGAATTTCTTATATTTGTACCAAAAGTCTACCTCACAACCACCATGCAGCTTAGTTGCCTCTAAATGAATTTGGCTTGGGTCGTCACAGCACAAGTCACCTGTGGGATGTGCAATGTCCATCTGGAGCTATATCCTCCCAGAGCAAGCACTTGCCAAATGTGCATGCTGCTGTGTTAATACAGAAGTTCTCTTTTAGAAGTGGAAGAGGGAGATTTGTTGCCTTGCCTGAAAGAGAGCTGCTGCTAAGTAACAAAGCCAAAGATGATTTTTAGGAATCTGCTCACAAACAAGCATGAATTTCATAAACTCCATGTTTAAAGCTGGTTCATAAATTTGGAGCAATATTAATGTAGAGAGAATCAGGGCCATACTCTGATGTATGAAATCGGGTTTCCACTGTCTGCACCTTGGCACCACCGAACTCCCAAACTGGCCTGGAATCAATAGCTTCATCTGTTTTGAGATACAAAATTCCCTATGGATCTTAGCCATGGATCCAGCACATGCTGGAAAGTACAATAACCTTGAGGAGAAACTGGAGGTAGTCCCACTGCCATTCAGGAGCCAGGGCACATCTGGCTTTTAAGTTGCTGTGCTCAACACGGATACTGGGATCATACTTGCTTTCTTCAAACACATGAGTTAAAAGCTGCACCAGAGCTCTTGTCC